GCCGGAGGCCCACGGCTGCCCCCCCCGGGGGGGTCACAAGGGAAAAATTCACCCCCCAAATGCCCAAAGAGGGAAGCCGAGGGGAGGAGGGGGGGGGGGTAAAAACCAGCCAAGAAGCGGAAAGCGCGAGGATGGGAAAAAAACGGCTTTTCCTGCTGCGGGGATTATATCCCGGCTCACCGTACATGCGGATTATGTCGGCTGGGCGCCCGAGGACACGGCTTTGAACTCCGCCACCCGTTCGTGGCTGGCAGAGAAGAAGAATCAGAAGAGTGGGACGGGGAGGGGAGGGCTGGCGCTCGGAGGCACTTCCCCCCCCTGCAAAGACCAGGAGGAGCCTGTTAATTAAACCGAAAGGAAGAGGGGGGATAGCCGAGAGCCAGAGAACCAAAGCCACCCCCACCTCCTACCCCCCACCCCAGCCAGGATGGCTGTGACTTCTCTGCAAAAGTGAGGGTGTTAAAAGGGGGGGGGGGGGAGGCACGCCACCACCCCCAGCCTTGCACTTTGGATGCTCAAACCTCCCACTGACACCGGGTGAAAAGAATCCATTGACTGGACGTTATTGATAGAGTTATTGACGGCACCACCCAACTTCAGGAAATATACCCCAACAGAAAATAACTTTCCTAAATTCTGATTCTAACTTAGTCTCTTATTTCTTCCATGGTCACCAACCAGGGGCTTCCAGGAAGGCAACGCACACGGACCGCAGACAAACGGGATTGCTTTTCTACGATTCTACAGCCATCTCTCTCTCAGTTGCTCTGCCTCCCGCATGTATAAACTCGGCAACCTGTAACAATTGATTTTCCTTAAAATCCTACCTCTCGTACAAGTTTTTCAAGCCACCTTTGATCGGAGAAGGCAGGATACCAATAAAAAATAACCAAGAAAAGTCAAATAACCACCACACACTTACAGGCCTTTCCTCCACCTGTCCTCGGCCTCACCAAGGGATTTCTATAATGGCATTTTCACCGTCACAAGGACTAGCAACTTGATTTTTTAAAAATGTGTCTCTATCCCACCAACAGCTCAGAGGGTTCAGACATTCCACAGCCGAGCTGGGAAACAAGACACATTTATAAGCCGTTTGGATCTGAAGTTTTCAAAGTGATACGCAACGGCAATAAAGCTTGTTCACCGGCATCATTCGAACAAGTTTACATTATTTGCAAAAGGAAATGAGAGCTTGATCTACCGGGTGGGGGTGGTGGAATGAAACACCCGAGTTTTGGACCATAAAAATACATGTGCCTTGATCCGGCGCAAAAAAAGCAAAGTGTGCTGCTTATATAACTGCCCCATAGCACTCTCTGGATGGTTTACGATTTCATTATGCAGGCAACACACTGCCTCCACCCCCAGCAAGCTGGGGACTCTAATTTTACCAACCTTGGAAGGAGGGAAGGCTGAGTGAACCTCGAGCTGGCTACTTGGGATTGAACCCAAAGTGTTGAGCAGAGTGTTGGCTGCAGGACTGCAGTTTAACCTCTGCTCCATGAGGTGCCCTGCACCCCTTCTAGGTAATCGAGGCACAGAGACAGACAGAGAAACGAGAGGGACGTCAGGATTGGCATACGGTCATCCAGTTCACGGCTACCACCCAGGTGGCTCAAATCCCAGGCCACTGCTCAAACCCCGACAACCACACTCCAGGATCACAAAGAATTTTTTTTTGGTCATCTGCTAAGAGATCGACAAGAAGCATCCACGCAGCCGGAGAACACCACCACATCAGTGGCCCGTGTTTCCACGTGGGCAAAGCCAGATGCCCCCCCCCAGCAATAGGAACGGGCTTTTCCCCTTAAGGATGCCCTAGTGGGAACCAGCCACGGCTGCAGATCAGAACGCTCTTGTCCCCGTGGCCTCCTCTCCGTGGCTCAACCACGGCCAATCACTGTGTCACGTTCTCAGCCAAAAAAAAGGACATTTTAGATTCTAAAATGGCTTGGGGATGATGGGACTTCGTATCCCCCAAATCCGGCATGCTCTGGTGCAGAAACACACCCTTGGACCCAAACAACTTCTCCATCCACCAGACGTCTTTGTGCCCCTTTTACCGAGCCCTGTAGTACGTCAGCAACACGCCTGACTGCCCAGTTTTCTAGAAGCACTGCCACAACTTAAAAAAAAAATAATAATAATATTTTTCCAGGAAGATTTTGCTGACTGTTCTTCGCACGGCGAAGTCTTTCCAAGGGGCTCCGCTAGAGATGTCAAATTTCCAAAATTTTTCATTTTTTTTTGCCGCAGGGGGGAACGGGAAAAACAGAAATTGTTGAAAATCTTACATCTCTAGTTTGCACACGAACTCCGGGAGGCAGTGGAAGACAGGAGGGCCTGGCGTGCTTTGGTCCACGGGGTCACAAAGAGTCGGACACGACTTAACGACTAAACAACAAGTTTGCACACAGCAGTTCTGACTGCGTTCCAACGCTCCGTGATGGAACTTTTTTCCCCTCAGTGCAGCTGAAACGATGGCGCTTTTGGCAACGGATCGGTGCCAGTCACAAAGTCAGGGGATATGTCAGTTGAAATCCTTCTGTTTTGCATTGTAACATGTATTATAGTAAACTCTCTGGGAATTTCATGAGTCAACTTTTCCGTACGTTCCACGGATTCAAATGGGCCTTACGGCTTAGGTCAGTGTGCTTAAGCGACTGGAGGAGACCCGTTTCAAAACACTGACTCACCGAATCCTCACTGATTCAGTGGGTTTACTCTAGTGCAACTTGCTATGGGGGAAAAACAGGATTTCAGCCATTATCTGTCATGGGCTGAGTTGCATGATGCCAACAACCAATCTCATTTCTTGCCTTCCTTCGCCCCCCCCCGCCCCGCCCCAGCGAAGTTACACCAGCAATAAGACTTCAGTTTTTCTCAACAACAAGAAAGCAGATCCTCCACACGGAGAAACACAGTGCAAATGTGCCAAGCAAAAGACCACAGGTCTGAGATAAATACAGTAGAATAAGGATGTTCTGAGACACGGATCAGCAGAACTGTGTGCCTGAATTGAAGCCAAGCATGGTTCACAGTTTAATCAGAAAGCAAAAATAAAGCTTCAAACTCCTTTCCAAACCACATTGGATACGATCTGCAAAATTCAGCACAAGCCGCATAACTTCATAACATCACAGTCGCGCTGTGCCTCGGCCTCCAGAAGTGGATGCATCAACCTCACTCGATAAGAACATCGAAAGGAAAAAAAACCACACACACACAAAAGGTCAAAAAAGCGTGGCTCAAAGGTCCAACATTTCGACTCTCGAGGTCAGCCTGACCGCGTGGGAAGCTTTTTGGTTTTGGACTACAGCCCCCATAATTCCATGAGCAGCTTGCCCATGATTTGCTGGCTGGGGAATTCTGGGAGCTGTAGTGCAACGTAAATGAAAGTAACTTTTTCTGAGCTCCAGCACGCGCACGGTTTCGAGTGCTACCCCATCAAAGCCTACACCATGATGTCCAACAGGCACGCTTGAAAAGGAAGTCTTTTTTTAAAAAAACACTTCCTTACTCTCCGATGGAAATCCTGCTCCATCAGCCTAGTCTCGTCTCCGGTTTCTCATGGCCGCAAGACAGGGCCCCTTCTCTGCCGTCCGCCCCTCGAGAACCAGAATTAAGGGGGTACAGTGCTACTGAACATGGAGGTTCTACAGACCCACCTGTTGATCGGCCGCTCCTCCATAAATCTGAAGCGCTCTTAACGCCAGTGGCCAACATCTTAAGCAAACGCCCATTGATTGAATCCACGCACAGCGTGGGTCCATCTTTCTTTTTCTCCTTTTTCAATCTGGGAAGGACTGCCGGCTGCCACCCAGAGCTGGCCATACTGGCCTCAACAAATCAGGGACGCAGCTCAGTTAAAAAAAAAAACTTCCCACGCATGCCGACCGAGAGATGCAAAAAAGGATCAGCATTTGAAGGAAAACGGGAGTTTACACAAAGAGCTTACACACATCCCTCCACATGATCATTTCCAACACCCAGTGCTCTCGCGCCCCCTTTTCTCCAATTTTCCTCAAGCCTTGGAAGCAAAGAGCCCAAACCAGCGTCCTCGAACCGGATACCGCCCAGCATGTGCAATTCGAGCCGACGCAGAACCGAGAACAAGGGGGAGTCCCAAAATCTCCGCAGAACCCGCTCCAGACAACAGCACAGTCCATGTACTGACGAGGGGGGTCAAGGCCTTACCTGGATGTATCTTAAGGCACTCCTTAGGACGCTTAAGTTTGAGGTTTTCTTGTCGTCGACGTTGGGGATGTTTCGCTTCAGGGTCTCAAAGCATTCTTTCAAGTGGGCCCGTCTGGAGAAGCAAAACCCAAAACGTCACCCCCTTCGGTCGGAACTTGAAAGGCTCAGCTCGAGAGCCAGGATTTCGGGGTTTCGGGCACACGCGTTGAGCAGAGTGGTGAGGCAAACCCCAGGCAGGCTTCGAGGTGTCGCTCCCCGTGACACCCTAGGGTGGGTACACGCACTCCGCTGCTCCTATACCCACCCTAAACTCCCTAACCCTTTCCCCCCCCCCAATCCTAAAAGATGAAAGCGCTTCTCCAGGGACTCAAGTCCGGGAAAGGGAGAGTTTTAATCTTAAACTTGGTGGTATTTGGGGGCCAAATCTTTAGCCTTCAGTCTGAGATGCACCTGATGAAAGTGGGCATATCATGTGTTTTCATTCCGCGCCCTAGAAAGCCCCCTTTTAAGCCAGGATGGGGGAATTTCCGAGCCCTCCAAATGTTTTAGGACTCCCCATCTGTGCCAGGATGATCTGCTGTGGCCAAGGAGGATGGGAGTTGGAGTCCAGCCACACCAGGAAAGGCTACAGGTCTCCGGATCTCCTCTTAAACACAGTTTGGTGGACCCTTTTTTAAAATATATATATAAAGCCCGGTTTATATTTTTTTTAAAAACCCAACATGGGAACATTGGGCTGTGGTGGCAAGAGCTAAAGCCAAGAAGCTGGGGAGGAGGGCAAAAAATTACGAGCAGCCATGCATCTGGGGCATGTAGCTGCGCAGTCGGAACAAGTGTAGATGGTAAACCTAGGATTAATCAAACTGGGCCATGGAAGGGAGCAAATTATTGAAAGAAAAAGGAATGCAGGAAAGACCTGGGAAGGATGGGAAGTGGCCAATGCCCATTCCGTCTCGAACTATGATTTTTTTTCTTTTCTTCCCCCTTTCTCTCATTATTATTATTTTTACTGTTATGATCAGGCAACGATTTTCAGGAATATTTTTTTCCTGCCTGTCTAGGAACTCTGGCAGATCTATTACAGAAAAACCTGCACGCCGGAGAAGACCTACAGACTTGGTCCAAAAGCAGGAATGGAGAAAACGCGGGCCTGAGTGATGAATCTAGATCTCCTTGGACAGTCTGAGAGGAGTGGCCCCGATCCCATACCCCCACCCCAACATCTGGGGGGAGTCCAAGCTTCTAAAATGTCTCATTCTAAAACGCTGGAAAGCGTCCATTAAGGATTCTTGATTGGCAGCTAAGCGAAAACTTTAGCAATCTTTTTGGCCCCGCCCTCTTCTCTATGGCTCCACCCATGTCTTCCCCCACCCAAAATATCTCTGAAATGGAATCCGGCCCTCGAACCGAAAGCGCTTCCCCAACCCATGGTTTACACAGCGCTCCGAATTTCTCTAGGTTTCAAGCAGCCTATGTAAAGTGTGGGAGTTATTTGTGAGAAGACCACAACATTTCGTTCGCGCTGCAGGAGAAGATCGGTTACCGCGGAGTCCCTGCTCAGACGTGGCTCCAAACTGCAGAAGATTATCCTGACCTCAGAAGGGACAAACAGTGGGCTGAACCCGAAGACGAAAATGCAGATTTCAAAGTGGAACTGCAAGCCGCTAAATGTGGCGAGGAGCCAAATCTGGAACCGACCAAACCATGGTTGGAGCACAGACAGCGAACGGAAACTAGGGTTTGAAGCAAACCATGGTTTGCGCTTGTAACATCTCAGTGCCACAAACTCGCTGGAAAATGAGAGGTTGAAAAAAAAAAGGCTGCTGTGAGGAGAAGACTCCATACCCCCACCCCAACATCTGTGCCTTCACTGCAGAAAATTAGGATTTGTTCACTGCAGAAAATCAGGATTTATTACAAAACATGAACGGGAAGACCCAGTTTTAAAAGGAAAAGAGGGGACTGGATAAAAAGTATTCCTCCGTTTCTTCCTCTACATTTTCCTCAAAGATTTTGATTTCTGTTAGCCTCCCACTGCTCCAGACCTTCCCATGTCTGTTTCCGGGGCCATCATCCTTAAGGACGAACAAAGAAAAGGGAGATCCGAGCAACCAATCTGACATACAGATTTATCGGTGGTACTCCTGAAAAAGACGAAACCATTGTCTGGCTCTCAACTCCCCCCCCCCGCAGCCAGCACGAGAAAGCAACTTTTTCCCCAAACTCTGTCCCAAATTTGGAGCCAAGTCTGAACTGAGCTTTCTTCCATTGTTCTACCATCGCCGATCCTCCCCGGAAGCCGAGGGATTTGGGGGGGGGGAGAACGACAAGCAAGCTCTTGTAAGGGCAAAAATGGGCATTCCCAATTCCAAGCTGTCGGGTTTGGGGGGGTTGTTGTTGTTGTTGTTTTGCTTCTTAAAGCTACATACCTGTTCTTCTCCAATTTATTATGGACTTCCCTGGTGCCAACCCTAAAATCCGAAAAAGGGGAAGAAAAAAAAAAAGACATGATCAGCATCAGATTTCAGAGAATCCTCTCTGCTTAGACGCAAGATATATCCAAACTGGGGGAGGAGGGGGTGTTACCCATCTCGTAGAGAACGCCTTACGCAATGGGTTCTTACAGAATTTCAAGGTTTTGTTTCTTGGTTAAAGACAAGAAACAGTGAGTGAGCTGGCCCTGTACGCCACCACTGGCCCGCCTCGGCTTAAATCCATTTGCTAATCCTAAACAAAGCAAACCTACGGAAATCACCGGCTCAATAAGAATTCTGCTTGCAGGTTAAACACCAGTCCAGACACTGGATTCAGTGGCGTTGCTCATGCGCTTCGGGAGTATATTCACACCGGTTGTAGAACCTGCATCTTTTCCAGTGGCACATGCCGGATCCCACCCCCACCCCTGGGTTTTCACACACTCCCAAATTATGGAGGACGCACAAGACTGTGACATGAATGGATGAATTTGGAGCAGAAATGGAAAAAAAACCCTGCTTATCCATGAAACTTGGGCCGCGTGGATTGGATTGAAATCAAATGGACTTAAATTGCCATTTCAATCAATCACAATTTCAATTTTAAAAATCGGGTTGGTTTGCAATGTAAATCGATTTAAACCAAAAATCAATCAATCACAATTTCAATTTTAAAAATTGGGTTGGTTTGCAAATTTAAATCGATTTAAACAAAAAAAAATTTACATCGTGATTGAAATCAATTTGATTTTTAAAAAAACACACATTGATTTTCATCCAGCCATTTACATCGTGATTGAAATCAATTTGATTTAAAAAAAAAAAAAACACTGATTTTTATCCAGCCGGATCCCAAGGTTGCCAGGGGACATCACTGGGAAAAGCTCAACTAGCGGGGTTGCCCATGAGCCCCCCCTCCCAGTTGGGAGGATGGGTGGCATGCACCCCTCCGTGAGCCAGATGGGAAAAAGGTGGTGGGCTGGATGAGGCCCCCCAGCCGGACAACCCCTTCTTCTGGTTCTGGTGCCTGCACGTTCAGAGATTCTCAAAAAGATGGCTCCCAAAGACAATAAAGGCAGCCAATTTACCTAGGATGGAAACCAGAACTCAATTCCAGCTGTTCCCCAGTACACATGCGCAAAAACAACGCATGAGCATTTACTTAGAAAGCCCTACTGGTGTAGCAGAGGCCTGGAAGCAATTCTGAACAGTGTGTGACATCCCTCTCTCTTACACACAGAGAGCCCTGGCTTCCCTGTTCCCTTGTTGCAATCCTCACCACTGCAACAAGAGAAACGGCACAGTGCATTTTTGTAAGCCGGTTTGGAAGGCGGTTTCATCTTCCATGGGCAATTAAGAGCCATTACGCTTACAAAACACTTGCTCCTGATATGTTCACGGGGGCCTGATCCAAAGGGGGAAGATATGATTATGGGGGTAGGTGGGTGGTTGTAGGCTGCCGTGATGGGTTGTAGGCACTTCCAAACTTATTTCTACATCACTCGACATGGCTCTCTGGCAGAAATTTTTCCTACCAGCCAACAGGTATCTAAAACGGGAAGACCGTAATACACCTCCTACATCCTTAGAAGACCAAAATCAAAAGCGGAATGAATCTGTAGGATTCTGTATGAAACTAGAAAATAAATTATTTGAAGAAGGGTACCCTTCAACTCTTTCATTCTTGGTCACATTCTGTTAGGGTTCTACTAGTTCACATGGCTTTTAGGCCAAGCTCTGTCCTGCTATGAAAGAAAGCTCCCAGAGTGCACTGGGGCAGGAACAGGAAGCTAGGCGGAACTAGGCCTAGCACTTCCTGCTTACGCCTTTCCTTCAGATTCTCCCATGGTTTATTCCTGCCATAACCCACCCACCCCCCCGCTCTTCCAAACCATACAAAAACAAGCACCCTTGGGTGACCTACAGGGGCTCAGCTAGATATTTAAACTAGGGATATAGAAACCCTTAAATTTTTCTTAGATGCCACGGAACTACAGCACCCATCATCCCTGGCCACGTGGAATGCAGCTGACAGAACTCGGAGTCCAGAAACATCTTGGAGGGCGATGAGCTGCCCATATCCTTAAAGCCACCCTTCTGGAGCCCACAGATGGGGAAGAGGCTACATCCACTTAAGTTTTTATTTAATCGTTTTGTTTTTGCTCACCCTCGGCTCAGGCCCAAAACCGAACTCAAAGATCGAGGCTAAGCAGAAAAATGTGGAATCCAGTGTATATGGAGGAAGCTCACTCCGCTAGAATAGGCAGTTTTTCCTGCTTTCATGGGGCCAAAAACAGAACTGGGAAATGTTCGTTTTGGAACCCAAAATAATAAAAAAGAAGAACCTGGTGTAATCCTGAAGATGTCTATTTGGTGCCAGCCCCTCCTGGGATGAGGTTCGCCTCTCTAACAGGTTAAGAACCACTGGGCTAGAGCAACCCTCAAAAGTTTACACCCAAGAAAATGTGCTAGCTTTCTGGGTGGCAATAAGATTCTTCATCCTTTTCTTTCTGCAACAAGAGTACGGACCAACGAGAAGGGCCTTTTGGGATGACAAAACCCAGAATCCCCACTCCCACCATAGGGAGTACCATTTAAAAAAAAACAAAAACGTAACTCCCAGAATTCTCCAAGAATTCCCCAGGCAGAATTCTGGAAATTGAAGTTTTCGAACACATACCAGCAAACACTTCCATTTTACTCACCTAGATAAGGCCGAGGTCTCCTTCTGGGTTTCCATTTCCTGCTGCAATGCTTCCGGGTGGGGTGGGGGGGTTTCTCCAGGAGAATCAAGGGCAACGGAACTACCACTTCCAAGAAGCAATGCAGCCAGGAAATGAAGGCCAAAAAGAGAAGGCCCAGAAAGCCACCCGGGCCTCGTCCAGGCGAGTGAAATCAAAGTGCCTGCAGGCGTGTCTTCGAGGGTCCGAACTCCCAGAAATAATATGAATGAAATAATGAAACAAAAAAAACCATAAAGAACTTTCCCAATTTTGTGCTAAGATACAGGTGTCTTCCCCTCGCTGAGAGAGAGGATGCACAGAAATAAAATAAGTAAATAACAATAATACAATCATCTTAGAACGGCAAAGCTGGAAGAGAACCTAGGGAATCATCAAGTCCAACCCCTATGAAGGAGGCCTACACCACTGAACCCCTTCTTTGAATTTTCACCTTCCTCGCTTTTAAAACCGGCACTAAAAAACTACGGGCATTAAAAAGGGCTTCGCGAATTTTTTTAAAAAGTCAGTAACTCTTCCAAGTGAAACGTCGGCCGCTCCCAGCCCCGCCACTCACCCTCCGGGCCTCTTTTTCTGCTCGCTGGGCTTGGCGTCCTCCGAGGGGACCATCTTGACCCCGAGGGGGGGCACGGGGGGCGCCGGAAGGACCTGCGGGCCCGGGTGGGGGGATTTTCTAAGGGGCAAAATCTTTTAGAAATCTTCCAAAGCCCCAGCATAGAAGATCACTCTGTCCTAGCTGGGCACTTAGAAGTATGCACTGAGCTGAGAGTGAAGTCATGATAATCATGTAGTCAAGTGTTGTGGGAATGGGAAGAGAGTAATTGTTCATTTTATCAAGTGATAAGGAAAAGAGGTAGCATGAGAGGGGATGACCGAGATGGGCGCGGGAAGGGGTGGCGGCAGGGGAGGGGGAGGTGCTGGCGCTGGGGGAGACAAGGGGGCCGCCAGGATTTCGTGGCGCGGAGGTTCTTCGGGCTGAACGGCATGATTCACCCGCGGCACGCTGGCTTTCTTCTGTTCCTGTTCGTGCTCCAGGCACAGCTTTTCGTGTCTTTCGTTCTCCTCTGGAGAAAAGAGGGAGGAAGGAAGGAGGGAAGGGGAGGAAGACAGAGAGAGAAAACCAGGTCCGTTAACCACAGCTTTTCAGCATCCTGGCACAAAACCAATACCAGAGGTGGCTCCCCCCCCCGAAAAAAAATCCGGCTGGACTCTCAAACTCCCATCCTCATCCTCTTGGAACTTCAGAGCTGGAAAGGACCCTACGAACCATCAGGTCCAGCCCTGGTCAAGGAGGCCCAGTGGGGGATTCGAACTCCCAACTTCTGGCTCCACAGCCAGAGACCGAAACCACTTGCCCCAGGCAACCACAGCGGAGGAGAAGGGGATCACGGGAGTACAAGTCTTCCACCCCAAGGCCCATAAACTGCACAATCTCTGCTTCCAGGAGTAACACAAATAAAAGAGAAAGAGCCAGCCTGCTGTAGAACGAGATCAGGACTTGCGAGACCTGGGTTCAAATCCTCTCCCAACCATGAAGCTTACTTGCGGAGCTTGCGAGAACTGTACGATTATCTTGTCACTTCCTGCCTTCCAATGTTCCTGAGGACACCCAGACACCCTCTCCGGCCAAGCCCTCTGTGAGGACCGGGAGAAAGCTGGAATTATTCTTACCTAGCCCTTACCAGTGATTGAGAAAGATGGGGCATAGCCGTGGAAAAAAGAGGAAGCTGATTTGTGGTCACCTGTACGTCATGGGAGTCGTTGGGGAATGATATTGAAAAGGACTGTCCCAAGAGAGGGACAAAATACATAAAAATTGCAATGTAGCCACCCCTGAATCAGATTCAGGTTTCTAGTCCTCATTGTGGAAGCATTGTTTCTTCCCCAGACCATCCCTTTGGACTCCTCCCATTCCAAACAGGCCCCTCCCCCTGCCATCAGCCCCTCCCCTGCCTTCCCCCATAATATCTCTGCATGTTCAGCAACACCGACTCACCCAAGGGCCCATCTTCCACCCTCCCTCTTTCTCCTCCATCGTAGGCTTCCCAGCAGGAAGTTACAGATAAGTTACCTTTTTTGGACTACGACTCCCAGCAACCCACGTGACGTTGTCTGGGACCATCCGGGAACAGCTACCTCAACCAAGCTAACTTTTCCAACATCTGGCAACCAACCCATCCCCAGCCAGCTACAAGTTTACGTTTTGACACCCACCAGATTGAATTTGATATACGGCCTGAGTTGCTACGGAAAACCTTATGTTTCAGGAGATTCGGGAGCCCCTGCTCCTTCGTCGCATTTCGGAGCCGCTTTAAAATGACCATCGTACAATGCAGGGCAATAAAAATCTTAACACTGACACCATTAAAAAAAAGAGAGAGAGAGAGACCAAACCTATAAATCTTATAAAATAACAGCCAAAAAGTCTTTGTCTTTTATGCTCGATTCTCCTGTGGCCACTGCCAGTTCACACCACAATGCAGGAGTCCTAAAACAGAGATTAGAAGTTCCTTGGTAAACTGGGGAAAGCTGACGGCAGTAGGAAAAGAGGAAGCCGAAATGTGCGATGGATTGACTCCATCAAAGAAGCCACAGGCTTGAATCTGCAAGAGCTGAGCAGGCTGCCGAGGGCAGGAACCCTGGAAAGCCAGTCCGTTCATAGGGTCGCCGTGGGTCGGAGGTAACTTGAGGGCATGGAAAAACACAGACCTGGGGGGGGGCGTGTGCCTCCATGCAAGTACCACCTCTAGCGGCTTCTCCCCAGACAGAAGGAAACAGGAGGTGCAGAAATGAGGTGGCCGTAGGTGTGCTCAGACCCAGGCTTCCCCCCCCCC